AGCCGGCGCCGTCTCGCAGCTCCGCGGGGAGCGAGGGCAGCCAGCCACGCGTCTCGCTGCGACCGACGGCGCTTGTGTTGTCCCTTGGGTTTCTAGTGTCGGGATCAGCCACTTCCTTTGTAGGGACCCTGCCCAGCGGCGCAGGCGGCGACCCCGAAGAGAGAGCCGGCCCGCCCGGTCATCCCCAGGCAGTGCTGGTGGCCAGAAACCCCTTGGGCCGAAGGATTACTGTCTCTCTCCCAAGCAGTGATACCGAGAATTTCTGCGCCTACAGGGAAGGTTCTCCCGGGCCAAAGAACAGCCCTGGCGAACGCCGCATGTCACAGGGGAATGGGGAGCATCCTGCCGCCTTCCCCTGGCACAGGAGTGTCCAGGCAGTGTCACAATCCTGCTGCCCCTGAAAGCCTCTCCCCCTCCCCAGAAGAAGAGTTGATTTGGAACCTCGTAGTAAGCGCTGCAAACTCAGATGGTCATGAGAGACGGCTGCAGCCAAGGAACCGAAAGAATACATTTCACAATACACAATTTCCCAGAGACTTTATTTCATTTATGGATTTCCCCTTCAGTCTCAGCATGGCCTCTGCATCAAAGGCGCTCTCAGATTTGATGACAGTCTGTTTAGTTTGCTATCATAAAAACAAAACAACCCACCAAAAAAAAAGAACCCAAAACTTTTAGTTTGAGTAACCACTGGAATTTATTTAGCCTAAGTTGTAACCACATGCCAAATACTTTCTCTTTTCTCTACTTCTTCTATATTTATCCTATATATTAAGCTTAAGTCTCCACCTCTACCCCCAGCACCCACAAAAATGTCTGGTTTGCTTGGCCTGTAAAGGAAAAAAATCCTTCCAAGGAAAGACACTTCCATAAAAGATAAAACTTGCTTGTGTTTACCATATCAGCAGCGTCAGAGAAGGGAGAAAAATGGGAATTTTAAGGATGGAGAGACTTACTCTGGCTTATCCATGTGGATTCCTAAGTCCATCCAGTCCCCTAACTGTTCAATGAGATGTAGAAATAGTAATAAAGTATGTCCAGGTGTAAAATATTTTTTAAAATGCTTAAAAACATCTTCACATTTTGTTTGTTCCATTAGGCAGTATCATTGCCATCACATTTAAAGGGATACAGTGTTCAGGACATACAGTTTTTCACCTTTTGAATTGCATTTTGCTATTAATATACATGAAGAAATTGAGGACTTAAGGACAAGATTTTTTGAAAGTTGCCACACTTGCCTAAAAATGGGTGCTACAAATACCTGATAAAGTACTTCTTAGTCAATAAGAACAATAATAATAATGATATTCAAGTACTTCTTAGTCATTAAAATAGGGAGAGATCCAAAACTCTGCAACTATCTCATGCACAATGAAGATATCCCATTCTTCCACTCCATACTTTTGCTGGAGAAGAAGAAGCAATTAAGATGACTTTGTTAACTGCAGTGACTATCCCCCTGCTCAGACAGAACAGCCATTCTGATTTGAAAGACACATTTTGGGTTTCATAGCCCAAAACACTGATCTCATTTCTGGATGAGTAGAGCTCCTATTTGATGTCTGAAGCAGGCAGCTGTTTCTTTTTTTGCATCTGGAAGTGACACATCCCTTAAAGAAATGTTGCTCCTGTTAAAAAGACACCAATGTAATTTGAGCTGAACATTTCCAAGTTGTGGGATTAGGGTGATTCTGGTTATTAATAGTATGTCGTAATCACAAAGTTGAATGGAGGTAAAGGGTCACATTTCATACCCAGAGCCACTTCTAATCTCAAATATTTATCTGAAATTAAAAGCATCAGGAAAGAAATGAGGGAGGATGACTAGAACCTGGAGTCCATTAAAGTGCCACAAAGAGAGAGGAACTCATTTGGGAATGGCTAAAAGCACCCTTATGTCTGATTTCTGTCACTGTTAGGCTGCAGGATGCCTATGAATCTACCAGATGAGCCAAACATCCTCCAAAAATTTGTCTTAAATTGCATTTCTTTGGTAATTACAGTGAACACACCACAGAATGACCTTCCCTAATCCCACTTTTTAAGCAGCTGCTATTTTGCATTCAATACATAGTCCTGGCACTGTCTGCACCTGCGTTGTCGCAGACACACAGGGAGTAACACATACTTGCATCTTCATAAAGCAGCAAAACCTCACCTGCTTTTTTTTTTATTTCTTCTTTTAAAATGAATAGGAAATTAGCTGTGAACATCTATAAATATGTACTAATGAGCTTTAAAACGTGATGCAGAACAAGCTGCTTATCGCAGTAACAATAATTCTGGAGTGTTTCCTGCTGCCTGTACCAACATCACTGACCACAGAGTGTCCTGGGGATGTTCAAGAGATGGTTCCTACCAGAGCATTACCGAGCACATCACATATGTACCCAGGCTTTAAGAGGGCTCGGCTGCTCTCCTGGACTTCTTTACAAGCCCTGGCCTTGGGGTCAGAGGAGGCAGCAGCAGCACGACTATAGGAAAGCAGGATTCTGTTGGTGAGTGGTGCTGTATGGGGTAATTTACACACAAGACAAGACCCAAGCAATGAGCCAGGGAGCTCAGTCTGAGCCAGAGCTGCAGAGTGGCTCAAATCAGGAATGAGAAGTGGTTATGAAGGGGAACCATACCTGTGGCACAAGCCCTTACACAGGATCCAGGTGTAACACCCTTGGTTTCCGAGTTTCCTTTGGAAATATCTAAAGGGCAAGTGCTGGGGCTGCCTTAATCCTGGCAGGGTATGAGGGAATTCAGAAGTGTCTCATAAGCTTTTGTACAGCACAGTCCAATGTACTGAACATACAGAGACATGTCTTGTGACATAGTGGAACACATTATGCAGAACATTTCACTTTCAAGGGTATTATATGAAAACAGTATATCCCATAACATTATTCCCAATCATTAAAAGTCTCCTGCTTGCTTCCTATGTGCCTCACTCCTACCAATAAAAATACCAAATCTCTACTGCCTGGAGCAGGACTCCAATTCCTGCAGCTTTCTCTGAGCTTCTTTTTGTACTGAGGCAAATCTATTCCATTTAGGAAGGCTTTTATCAAAAGATTAAAACTCAGTGAACCTCTCATGCAGAAGTATTATAAAACTATCTAAAATCTGTGTCACTTTGGTGTTCGTTCAAGTTCAGTATGTCAAGGAGTTCAACAGTACCATATTTAAATGTTTAGAAATCAGAAAGGCTGTTATACCAGACCCACAGCCTTACATTCTTCCCCGTAGCCCCTTGCTCAGCCATGAAAAGCAATACATTTTACTGAGCTTGGGAAGGATAGCAGGAGTGCTCTGAACAAACCCTCCCCTGAGTGACCTGAAGCAGAGGTCAGAGGTCAGAGGGCTCAGTAAAGCCAAGCCAGGCAAAATTTAAATTTCTTTGCTTCACTTCTTACAACAAAGATCTGCAGCTTTATCGTGCATTCCTCTCTGCCATAAGACGCTTCCCTGGTGCATCATAATCAGTCATCCTGTAATGCGCCAGCTGGTTACCAAGCAAGGCATTACAGAGTGCGGGAACTCAGCCCTCTGTGTGGAGAAAGGGACACCAGGAGGAATCCAAGCCTGGCAACAGGAGGCACAGCAGCCTTACTGCAACGGATGGAGTTCAGCAATCTTACCCCTTCTGGTTTCTTGATGTACCTAATGGACTACGAGGTCCTGAAGTTAAGGCATCTTTTCCAGGGATCCTAGAGCACTCTGAAAACTTACCGCTTCAGACTTTACACTAACTGACCACTTTCCAGATGAAGCTCTGCTCAGGCTGACTGATGAGTTCTTTAACTTGCCGTAACTAGTCTCAGCGATCCATTGCTTGGACCTGGCGTGGACATCGAGGAAGCGAGGTTTAGGCCAGTGTAGAGAAAGATACAACGATGCAGAAATGTTCTGGGACCAAAAACTTGTCAGGGGGTGAATGTAGTGCATTTCAGGAGGTGCACAGGCAATTGAGCACTTTTTCTTGCCTTTAAAGATACTGTTGTCAGTATCGGCAGGTAAATAAAACATTTGGGGGTAAAAATCAGTGAGACCAGAGCAAGAACTGAGAGTAAGTACGAGTAACAGAAAGATAAAAAAACCAACATGGCAAGCAAACCAAAACCACATGCTACGTGTGTAGGAAACATAGAGCTGAGCTGACACTCAGAAAGTCCAAACACAGTAAGGTAAAAAATGTAGTTGCAGCAGTTGGACAGCCCTAATTCCAGCTTGATAAAAAAAACCTTCCACGTGCTATTTAAAGATTATACTATTTTCACCTTTGCTGATCCCAGATAGATTATATTCCCCATTAAAGACAATCTTCCTGCTCCCCTCTGGAGGGCTGGTGAGGAGCGTGAGTTGTCCTATTTCGTATCTAAATGAATTATTCAAAGCGTAGCATTTTCTCTGTTTTACCTCGGTTTTTAACTCCGAGGTCTGCGATAAGGCCATTTCCAGGGAAATCCCCCTCTCCCAGATGACCGGCACTCTGGTGACAACACGGCTTTTTCCCCAGGATTTTTCTTGCAATTCCTGGAAACGTCCGGGCCCTGGGGGAGAGCGGCGGGCGGTAAACCTCGCGAGCTGCGGAGAGCAACAGGGCACAGCCTCTGCGGCGCGGAGACTCCGACCCCCGGGAAAGCAGAGTGGGGGCTGCAGGGGGGCCGGAACCCCCGCCTCCGGCCTGCAGCGACTGCGGCACGCCCGGGGCCTCCACGTCCCCTCCTGCTCCCGGCAGCAGCATCCTCCGGCCGGGGACGACCCGCCGCCGGCCCCGGTCACCCGCGGAAGCCAGCAGACCGGACGCCGATGTCTGGCACCGAAGGACCGCTTCCCGCCGCGCTCT